TCAATCTAAACAGGGAAAAGTGCAACATAGGCCATTGTGGTTAGGTAAGGAATGAAATGCAAAGAGTTTTACAAGCAGAGAGCTGAAAGCTTTTAAAAAAGATAAACAAATCTGGTGCAGAGGATTTGGAGGCACTGTATGTAAAAATAAGCAGAAGTAAGTTAAAGGATCAAATTAAAGGAGCAAATGGAATTACTGAATGCTAAACTACATAAATATTTCAACTCACAACAATGGGCTCTTTAGATATATTCACATTAAAGAAAAAGAAAATATAATAGTGGTCTCCTAAAAACGCAAAAAAAAAAAAAAAAGAGAGAAACAGGGACAACGGAAATAGTCTAATAATAATATAGAGAAGGGAGGGAAAAGCTAGGATTATATTACCATTCTTGATTTAGAGCCCGGTCCTATAAGGAACTGAAATACATCTCTACTCTTTAGTGACAGATCTTCATCTGTACCACGTGGAGGCAAAGGCAGAAACAGGACAACCTGTGGCACTGTGACCTTTTCTCCCACTTCAGACCATGGGACTAGTTTGGGCTACTATGCACTTTCGAGGAGGCATGAAGCTCCCGTAAACTTCGCCTGGCTGCAGTGATCCTGAGGGTATCCTTCTGATACCTGTGAATACCTCGCAGTCAGCTGTTTTCCAGGCACTTACTAAATACAGTCCTAAGCTGATGCTTGAGAGCAGGGCTGCCGTAAAGCCATTATGGCAACTTTTTGTCACCTTTTACTTTGGAGGAATCCCAAGGCAGCTCAGCAGCACTCCCTACCTAAACCGTGTGTCCTTAAAGGGAAAATGTGTATTTTAGGACAGCATTAAATCTCAGTATTGCAGAAAAAAACTGAGAGCACCGTGAATGACATGAATGACAATGAGTCAATAAATTTGGGGGCCTGGAAAACTTACATGCTTTGCATTGCTCCTTTTTATCATATAGACCTGCAACCATAGGTTCTTAGGACATGCAGAGGGTGATTTAGAGAGCCAGTGGGCTAGGAAAGCTATATCCCCCTTTGCTTTACTGTATCCCCCTTTGCTTTGCTGTGTGTTCATGTTGTTTGATGGAGAGGGGCCTCTGCATTGCACTGCTGTGGATATACTAGCACTGTTATTTTGAGCTCCCTCTCCCATCTGGCTCCACACCTGTTATATGTTAAGCTTATTTTCAATGAAGAAGAAAAACATTTAAGATGATTTAATAAATGTATATAAAATAATGAAGGAAGTGATAATGATGCACATACTAAAACATTATCCTATCCAAGAGGCTCAACAAGCATGAAATGTGGCAGAAGCATACTAAACATAAACATGAATAAAATAGAGTAAGACCCTTTTTCAATAAGAAAAATAAGCACCTGGGAAAAGTGGTCACACTGGGTAATAATAATAACAAAAAAATGCAATAGTGATTTAAGTATTTTCATACCGTAAATATATACATAAAGAGCTAGAAAGCAGGAACAAAATAAATGTAACAATGAAACAGAAAGGTGACACTTGGATGTGTCCAAGTGCAGGCTGCATATGAAGAAAAAGTAATTGTAACAGCATGACTGTTTATTATTATTAGTTGTCATTATTTATCTGTGTGAAGCCAAAAGTCTGCGAAACCAAATGTCTATAAAGCCAAAGTCATACACCTACAGTGTAATTATGAGCTTGCAAGGCTCACAAGAACAAATCTGGATTTTCCATTTTGAGTTACCACTTTCTCGAGAAGTTAGTAGTGACATAATAGGCATGACCACTCCTGAAGGATGTCAGACTTTCAGAGTTAAGTCCATTGCTACTAACTCTATTTTTTGACGTGAAGAGTGCTCCTGACCTTTCTGAACAATTTGCTCTATTTAAAGTTAGGCTCAAACCTGAACCCCAGATCTAAATTCCTTAAGGTGTGGGGCTGTCCCCATATTTAATATTTGGTTTCTGCTCTACACGAGATCTTCATCGACATTATTGGTGCCACATTAATTTATGCCTCACAAGTATCTACTCCTATTTATTTATTTCCTAAAGACTGAGTTGAAAAAAAACATATACCCTATACCCAAGTATGTTTAGGCACAAGCTTTGAAAATAGGGTTACATTTACCATATTGTTAAAAACACAGAAGTAAAATACATAAATAGAATTTGCTTCTTCCAGAGCTCTACTTTCTCTCGGTTCTGCCCATTTTTGCCCTGATTCACCATGCTCACATGTTCACATGCTACCCAAGCACGATGTCTCAGAACCAAGTACAAGGCTGCTGTCAGCCCAAGTTTCTCTTTTTGGTCCTTGCAAGATGTTGCCCTTGACGGGCTGTGTCTTGGTGCAAGCAGCAGCCAAATTTAGCTATTGTTGTGCTTGGATGAGTGCTGATTATCAGCCCTGATGCACGTGGGGCTCCGTGACACATTTTCTCCTGAGTGCGTTGAAGCTCCCACCTTGCTCTCCGGAACTCACGGAGGGTCCTTGCTGCCCACTGCTGCCTTGGGAAGCAGGAACCTACAAGCTGCATCTCATTAAAAGCCCCTGGACAGTGCTGAGCCATGTTCACATGCAGTGATCAATTCAATTAATTTGGCACGCAGGACAGAAATTTATCAAAATTGCATTATACCAGTGAAAACACCTGGATGCCCTTAGGAAATAAATATAACAACATTATTATTGAGAAGAAAAAAAAAAGAATTGTTAGGAATTTTAAAAGGGGGAAATAATTTGAAGTCATAGCTTTTATATATCAGAACCAGCTTGGCAAAACAGATCCTTTTGAAGTGTTATCAAATGTTCTGACACATGGATGATACGCAAAGTGCATGTTTCCTGTTCTGCTAAAACATTAGGCCAGGAGTATATTCATTGAAACAAT